TAATGTGGGGATAGGTATCCATCTAAATATAAAGTGGTATTTTAAAATTAAGTTCCCGCCTAGACATTAGATTGTTAAGGTATTGCAATAGAACTGCTTCACCCCAAAAATATTTTGGAACGTGACAAGAAATCAAAAATTGAGTGGGGTACCTTAAGGAGGTGTATATTATTTGTCTCAGTTATCTCATTTTGTTGTGGGATACAAATACATGAACTCACCTTGATGATTCTATTTGAAAGATAGGATTTAAGGATAGAGTTAAATATTCTTTTGCATTATCAATTTTAATGATCTGAATTTTGTTTTGGAATTGAGTTTGAATCATGTCATAGAGGATTTGGAAGATTTGGGTTGTTTCAGATTTCTCTTTCATTAGAAATACCGAAGTAATTCTAGTGTGATCGTCAATAAATGAGAAACCATTTTGCCAACCTTAGGATTCTTACTTTTGAAGGCTCCCAAATATCGTTGTGGTAATGAAAAAAGGGTGTAAGGGTTTGTATTAGGCCATGGAATTAACATTTCTAGTGCATTTGGCAAGTTGACAAATTTCACATTAAAAATCATAAAGAAATGAGAATACAACCATGCAACATAATCAAAATTATGATGACCTAGGTGAAAATGTCATAACATGACTTATTTTTTCATATGCATAAACTCAACCGACTAAAAGACTTGAGGAAAAGATGAAGTGTGACCACTAGCATGTTTATAGAGAAACTTTTCTAGAGTAAATATAAGCTTTAATATATTTTAACACTGTCAATCACCTTCTTTGAATTCACCACCTGAAATTCATAAGAGTTTGCACAAAATTTAATTATATATTTAATATCATAAGTAACCGTATCGATTAAAATTTCCAACTATGGAACATAAAATAGATGAAAGAATAATATCCTGAGAGAGCCCTACATCTCCTTTTCCAATAATTTTTATGTGTGATCCATCTACAAGTTTTATAGATTTAGAATTAGAAGCCTCTTGATAGTTGATTAGAGCATTGATGTCTCCGGTCATATGATCTGAAGCTCTTGAAGATCCAAGATCTAAATCTCTCATTACTAACAATATGGGAGAAGGCTATATTTTTCAGTACTTCAAGCTATTATCTGTTTTCTTTTTCCACAAATATATATATAAACATGAATTGAGACAATTGAAGGAAGTTATTGCCATTGAGTTTATGATTAGTGTTAAAGGTAGAGAGTTCAGAAGTCATTTGAAACAATTCTTGGTGTCTGATTCAAAACTAACCTCCGAATATCTAGCATCTCTATTATGTATGCCATAAACCCTATGCACATTTAGGGTTGAATAAGAGATTTGGTCGTTGCTTGTGGCAAAAAGAGCCCAATGGTTATGATAAGAAGCAGAGGAGGCTTTGCAAGCTGGCTGGATAGATTTTGGTGTTTGCGGAGAGGATTTTGGCTGTTGGACGGCTGTTGGAGAGGCTATGGGCGTTGTAGGATAGAGCAAAGGAAGGCTTACATGTTGGTTGAAGGGATTCTAGCGGCTGGAGGGAAGAGTTTGACTATTGGAAAGGCTCCGACGGTTGTAGGAGTGAGCAAAGGATAGATAACAAGGAGCTATTGTTGCCTCGAATCAAAAGATCATATTGGTTTCTAAATGTCAAAATCCAATTGTTGCCTTCCCAACTAGATATTCTCACGACTGTATCGCGAACGTCAGTCACGAAGATATTGTTATGGGCTAACCCGGTCTTTGAGTGATTCGGTTGTTTCCTTCCCAACTAGTTGCTCTTGTTACTATATTGTTTATATTGGTCACGAACACGAGGATTTAGGGTGAACTCGAGATGTTTAAAAGTGAAAGCTTCGCACCGTGGATGGTGAAGAAATTCGGTCATAAAAGGGTTTCTGATACCACCATGTTGAGAAACAAACTTTGGGATGAAAACTATTTGTTTACTTCTACTAGTCACACACAAGATATATATAGAGAGAAATTGACCCCTCCTAATTTACAATCTTACCAAATATATCTAATATAAATGTCGAAAGGAAATAATTCTGAAATAAACATAAAAATGAAAAGAATAAAACTAATCAAGGAGTTTCTAAAGTTATCCTCAATTAAATCCTCCAATATCTATAGGTGGCTGACCAGTCCACCATGCAAAGAAGGTCGGGACCTTCCTAAATTTCCACTTATTGAAAAGGATTAAGTTCTCATTTGGGCAGTCTAGAATCCTAAGTTTCATCAAGATCTCAAGCTTTTATGCAACGTTGCCCATGCACTCAAGAACTCAAAAGGGCCCTTCAAAGCAACAAAGTAATCTTTTGTATAACTCATCATGAAAAGCATCATGGCAACCTTGCCAACATTCAGCTCCATGTGTGGTATTCAATGCATTGGCACTTCCAATAGTAGGTTCATTTCTTCATTCATTTTGGAATTATCCACAAATAAGATCTTGCCAAATCAGCTCACTCATGCCACACTTCGTAAATTTGTATTTAATCAAACTACTCTCCTAATAGCATGTTGTAAGTTTTATCTACATTTGATGCTAGTGGTTGTGATCCCTTAGTGCACATTTTAAGTTTTGACCGCACCAATATTCTTCTTAGCTTGCCTTCCTATGCTTATTCAAGTAAAGGTTTAACTCTACCATCATGTTGAAGGTCAGCAACACCCAAATATGCCATCCCCGATTTTTGCTCAAAATCATCGTTATACTCTTCACGATGGTCCTCCAAATAAGGCTCCATCAATGGTTCACTCTCGCGATCATGAAGATCCTCAACCATAACCATTAAGCTAATAAATTCAAACAAAACATATATTCATAAGCATTTCCTTGTTAAAATTGGCCAGACCTGCAAACTGTGGTCTACTTAGGAACTCGTGCATTCTGTGTGGTCCACACAAGAAGCACTTCAAAGGCTAGAAATCTCTCTAGTCATCCCCATCATGCATTCTTGTCTTCCCCTGATCTTGTACTTGATGAATTCTCTCTACTTTGACAACCAAACTTAAATCTCGATCAAGTTTGTTGCCAATGTCATAGGCTTTGACAACACCTAAATGCCTTCTACAACAACTTAAACCAGGCCCACTAAGCCTCATCATTGCAAAAAGAGCAACTCCTCAATGGAAAATAAAGTGGCAACTCGAAGAATTACTGAACATATTCTAGGACATGACAATATGCTCCAACCAACAAAGTTTGGTCTATACTTCATTCTTTGCATTATCAAGATGAAACAATTTCACATTTTAAGACGTTAGATCCTATTTTGTTCATGGGTTACGCTAGAACCTTACTAACTCAAAATAAAGAAAGAAAGGGGAGAAGAGGCAAGAGGAGAGGAGAGGAAAATCTACTTTAAGACTAATACTACAAAAAAAAATGAGGTAGGACCCCAATCCAAATTCCAAAACCCTTAGCTCTCCCCGTGATCTCCCATTTATAAGGATCTAGGGTCACAAAAAGGCTATCAAATAAGCTATATATGTAATAAAGGTATAAAAAAAACCAAAAAAAGAGGTTCGCGCAACCCAAAGACAAATTCATACTCAAACTAGAGGTCAGTCGTCAGGCACTTTGGACTAGTTGAGTCTCCCAATGTTGATCATTGAGTAGTTTTGATCCGGGATGATTGAACGAATCAGGAGAGGGCATTTGAGTGCGTTCCATTTTAGCTCAAGTAGATGTTACCTTCTTCATTTATCGGACAAATTCACATAAGCTTGACTAGTGATTCTGCATAGGACCTGGCTGGTGAGTGACTTGAGCAAAGTCTAGCTAGCTCATCTACTTGAATTTTATTTGGGCAAGTTTGCCCTTGGGTATAACACTTGCATTACTATGGCATTTCAAGATCAACACACCTACGTTTACACCGAAATAAAGGAACATTTGACAGAAAATCATATTTACTGCATACCTATAGCATGCCATCCAAGATCCTTAATGCATGCAAGCATAAGTGATCACCCACCTCCATGGTACCTTAAATATTTTAGCTCCTTCATCATAAGGATGTCAAATCATTGACTAGGCTATAGAATGATCGCCCCACTCGTGTTACAGTCAGCAAAAATAGCTTTGCCTTCGGTTCCTTTATCTCCTTCAGCATGACCTCCACCGAAGGTGTTGTCCCTCTTAATGAACTATTGTCTTCTATATTCAGAACGCCCTAAATCACCACATAGGGCTCCTCCAACCCAAACTCAATCCCTTTCCTGCATAGAAGCGTGTCCTCAAACTTGTCTTGGACATTCCCAGGGCTACTTTAACCCTCATCATACAAACATATAACCGATATGTTGTGATATGGTTCAGTAGCTTTAGCAACTGGAACCTTTTGGCAATACTCTAAACAACTCTATACACACAAGCGATACAAATCCACAGAATACTTCATAACATTCGTGAACACTATTCAATGTTTGATCACTAATCTCAAGGTAGCTCAGTATATTGGCAAGCCATAAATTTGCCTTCTGTGACACATTACTTGATCCTCAGTAAAACAAAAAAGACATGAAATTCATGCTATTATCCAAAAATAAAAGACTAGAACTTTCTTTGTGCTCGATACCCCAACACATAGGCTTTGAGTCTTGTGTAATGGCGGCAATGCTCTTAAATAAAATCATACAAGCTCAAATACATCATGAACCAGTATTATTACATCAAACCAGTTTATTGGGTCATACCTAAATTATTTTTAGTTTGGATAATGACCGCAAACTTATTCTATCACAATGTCAAAGGTTAATTACTATGTACTTCTGATTCTTGTTTAACAAAGCATCTACTGCACAAATTGATAGGTTAGAAATTAAAATAATACCAAAATTAGAAAAGCTTTCCCACAACCTCTAGATTACTGAAGAACAAGCTCACACACAATACAAAGCATGCAGTAATTCAGATTATAACAAGGTAGCAAAAGACATTGAAACATCAAAAAATTTCAATGCACACTTAATTGAACCAATTGAGAAAAGAGAACGCTTACATTTCCTTCTCCAATTGTTTCCTGATGAACTCCTTTGAGTGAGCCGTCACCTTATCATTTTTGTTGCACAATATGAGAACAGGAATTTTCTTCTTTACAATAGTTCCCTTGGTTAGAATATCGTATAGATATCTGTTATATCAAAAATAACAATAACAAGTTTTATGAATATTCATTCATAGACAGAACTCTTGAATGCAAAAGTATTAAGATTGTTTTCATTACAATAGAGCAGATTATTCTAAGACAATAAAAAGCACACTGCAGCTTTTTGGAGTTACTGATGCAAAGCTAATGAACAAGAAGATAAAATTATCTATTAGTTCCAAGATGACTCTCATTCGATGCACAACTTAACTGCACATGTGAACAAGCACGTGGAGACATTTAGTTTTATCCTATATGTAGTTAGTTCTGGGGAGGAATCATGCACGAGGACCGGTAGACTGGTCCAACAATATCCCCAATTAATAATGAAAAGGGGCATTTAAGTACATGCCACCCAATTCCTATGTATTTATATATCTAACACCTAAATTTTACTTTTTTACATTTTTAACACTCAAATCTTACATATCAAATAAAAAAAACCACCATTTTAACTTTAACAAAATGAAATACACCTTTTCATGGATAAGTAAGGTGGTATTTATGTAAAAATTTAAGTTTAGGTGTTAGATATGTAAATACATAGGAATTGAGTGGTACGTATGTAAATCTTCCTACTGTAAAATATGCAGGTAAGCAGCGATTAGTGAAACTTCTTGAAGCATCTATAACATGTCATTTCTTAAGCTGAGGCTTATACTTACTCTGCAGCTGTTCGACAGTTCGGTAAAAAATCTAAAGCATCGACAACAAAAATAAGGCCAGCTGCTTGAGGCAAGAACTCATCAAGCTTCGGTATAAGGCGGGAATGCCCGGGAACATCAACCACACGGACAGGCTTTGTTTTGTCCTTCTGCCACAAAACAGAGTTGTTTTAGTCTCAAAACATAACATGTATAATTTCTTTTTTGGGGCATTTACATACATAGCAAGCAATTTTTATGTTTTCACGTATCTCACACCTAAACTTTTATATTTACATACATGGCACTCAAATCTTTAATATCAAATAAAAAATAGCACTATTACCACTTTTTAAATGTGAAATGTACATTTTCATGCAGAGGTTTACAGCACAAAAATGTTATGTAAATATGAATATTTAAAGTTAAGATATGTAAATACATAAGAATTGTGTGCTGGAAATACAAAATCTCCTTGCCTTTTTTCTTTAGATGACCTTTATCCCTAATATTATAAAACTAGAAGGCAACATATATCTTTGATGCCATATATTGATTCCATTTGAAGATTATATGTTTACCTTTTCAACTTCAGAATGCAACACAAATACACCATCATTTGGTTCCATTGATGTAACAGTGCCTTGATGAGATGATCCATCACGAAGCTAGCAAAAAACACGTGATACAATGGTCACAGGTGAAAACGTACTAAAAACCAAAGAAGCTTCAATAAACATTTTTAAGCGTTCTTTTTACCATCATTAGTTTGTTTCTATCATTAACAACCAACATAAATAATGTGGCAAAGCAATTTAAGAATATCTAGGTGGAAAGACATGATATCTCATTTTATTACCTATTTACTGAAATTAATATTATTTGACACCTGTTAAAATAGTACCCTGACTCTTTGTAGGGGGCATTTTAGTCCCAACCTTTATAGAAGTGTCAGTGTAGTCCTAGACTCTTTTAATATGAGTTATTTTAGCCACCATTAAAATAGTGTGAGTACTAATTTGTCGCTTTTATATTCTCTGGAACTAAAATGAACCCATGTAAATATTAAGGAGACAATTTTGGCACTTTGCTCAACAAAATTTAGTTGAGATTCTTTTTCTTCGTTAAATTACTACATTAAAATATTTCACTTCATCATTTGTGTTGAATAGGTTTGTGCAAGGTAAAGCTGTGCCCGACATAAGAAATTGCATTTCTGCTTTGATAAAAGCTATTGTGCGCCATTGATGTGTAACAGATTATTCATAGGAATAATCAGAAAATTTGATTGTATAAGATAAAGCAATCAAAAGAAAAACTGCGGGGGAAAAAGCCAATGTCAGAAAAAAGAAATAAGTAAAAAGATTACACAATAATGAATGGCAAAAGTGCATAATATTTTTTTTCATATTGAATGCTTCATCTTCACACATCCAGGGAACGGTAACATCCCTGTGTTTATGATGTAAATTAATACCTGATAAAACAGAACGGTTTTTCCAGAGCCACTTAACCCAGCAATTATAATAGTATTAGCCTTGGAATGGTTAAAGTTATGCACTGCACAAAAATACAATATTTTTAGTATTCAATTACCATCATGAAAATGAATGTCAAATCAACATCTAAATTATGATCTTTAAAAAGAGATTCTCCCAAAAGTGCTTTCACCAAAGCCTCCCTTAAGTTCTGTTAAATACAAGAAGTGAAAAAAGGACTTCAACAATTTAAAAGAGCTGCAATGAAAAGAGCATTAACACAAAATTGAAATTAGTGTATCTTTCCCAAGTTTGTACTCTCCTTACGAAATGTGGAAAAATGTCTCAAAACAATTTAAATCCCTCTCTCTACTCAGAGGACTTTAAAGTAAAGGTGCACATTAGTAGATTACACACGCACACACACCAACCCCACACCCCACAAAACAAACTTTAGATATTTAAAGTAATGGCAACAAAATAAATAACTTATTGAACTTTGTTGACAGCCAATCACAAAAATAATGCAAAAATCATGAAATTTGTTCAGAATGCAGTAAGACAATAATGACACTTGTAGTGTGAGAACTCAAAGATAACTCAACAACTATATTTGTTGAAGAATTTTGAATATCTAGAATTCAAAACCAAGAATGGTTAAAAGATATATAGATAAAAGCTAATATTCAGGCATAACTAACGTTCACAAAATTTCTAGAAATACAAAATGACTGTAAGAAATTTAATATCTTAAGAAAACTACAAAATTATAAGTAAAGGCTAACTATGATGGGAACCATCGTACATAAGATAAGTAAAGTTGATGCTATGACCAGAACAGCAATGGCTATATAGAGTTGCTCAGCTGGCTGTTGTCGAACCCACTGTTCGATATGTCGGAGCCATTGTTCAAATTGGTGCATCCACTGCGCCATACCTGCGGGAAAAAGTAATAATAATCCTTCCAATAGCATCAAATGTAACTAAGTTTCACGATTAATAGAATTGCAAAGTAGAAAACTTTGATTTTAATTTGGGTAAGTGTTGGATTGAGTCGAACATGATCATTGAGATTTTCAACATTTTAATAAATAAATTGACAACTTCTATGTGACCCGTGAAGCATCCATGAAGCATCATCATTTCATATCTTCTATGTAGCAAAACTATTATGCATAAAGTAACTTAGATGGTTGTGACTCATTATATCCAATAATTAACCCAACCTAAGGAGTTATAGTGCTTTTTAATATCATTTCATATTATTTTTCAAGTCTATGTTGTTAATATCACATTTCATAAGCGACCACCTTTTGCTTAGGGTTAAAAGTATTCAAATGCCTCCAAAAATCTGGTGCCGTGATAAATTCTTTTATTTTAAGGGGCATTTACATACATAGCACAAAATTCTCATATATTTACATATCTCACATCAAAACTTTCATATTTACACATATAGCACTCAAATCTTTAGCATCATATGAAAAATAGCACTATTACCACTTCTTAAAAATGAAATATACTTTTTCATGTGTAGGTTTAAAGCAACAAAGTGCTTTGTATGCAAATATAAAAGTTTAGGTGTGAAATATGTAAATACATAAGAATCGTGTGCTACGATGTAAATTTCCCTTATTTTAAAGAGCCAAGGGCTTTTAACACTATTTTGAAATGGAAAACTAGCAGTTTATCCTAAATGTTTGAACCAAGAGCTAATTGTTCTGGTGCATGCCCTTTATCCTAAAAAAAAAAACACCGCCATATGCTCTACCAGTAAGCACAATTTTTAATAGGCCCCTTGACTCAAGCATGTCAAAAAGCTCAAAAATAGAGACTTCCATATCTGAAACATAAAGATCGCTACAATATTATTTCCCTCATAACGATATCTCATATATTTCACATTCATCAAAAAATTTCTCAACAAGATTGTTAACCTTATCTTTGTCTTTTGTAAGAACCTCATCATGAATCATGAATATTATCATCTTTGATAACAAATAAAAAAGCTCATATGCTGTAAGGGCTACCTTAGAATAAATACTCTAAGAAAAACCTTCCTAAAAGGTCGTTTGGCTGACCAATCATCTTCAATGATACAGAGCTGGTCACCTCTCTTTTCTCCTTTCCCCTTCCAAAATTTCTCTACAGCTCAAGTTTAGGAGCATTTTCCCCTCGTTTGGGAATCAAAAGTAATTTTCTTGATAATTTTCTTTTGTATCTTCTCATACGACCAGCTCTGTGAAGACAGCACTCGTGCTCCTAGACAATAAATTATCTCAGAGCGACCCCATAGTGAAAATGGGTCATTTGACTTAAGGACCCTAAGAATTCCAGGTGTCTTGTCTCATTCTTCCACTTTCTTTTATCCTGTTGATCGTTTTATCTTCTCCTTTACATGTAGTTACACCCTCCTTCTTTCAAGCTTTAATTTATGTACTATGCAACGCCACCTCAGTTCAACGAGTTTTTACCATCAACAACACCCAATGCCAGGATTTACGGAATCCAGTTGTTCAATCAAAGCATAAGAGAAACGGGAATTAAAATTTTGGTACCATTTTTAAATCCTGCAGGTTCTTAAATCCCGTCTTTCATCCATTTTGCCTTAAATCAAGGATTTAGTAAATCTAGTTGGAAAAATAATTTAGTAAATCGAGGGATTTAGAGTATCTGAAGCGCGCAAAAGCTGGTGGGAGGAATTACCTTCCTCAATGGTTTCGGGTAGGAGCAGAGCGGAAGAAGAAAGTTGGAAGTTTTGGAGGACTTTGTAAGCCGCGATACCTTCTTTGCCTTCCCAGCTAGCTCTAATCGCGGTTGTATAGTGCAGGTTCGGTCACGAAGGCGATGGTTTTGGGCGAAGCCGGTAGAGGCGGGAGGAACGTAGGCTAGGGTTTCCGGCAGCAGAGGGGATGGGGACGATGGGTTCTTGGCTTAAATTTAATTTTATTTTAGTTAATTTTTATTAATTTAATTAATTAATAATCACTAACTAATTATAATTAGATATATATATATATATATAGAACTAATATAATATAAATAACGTTTAAAAATTTAATTATTAATCAGCTTAGTAAATATCTAATCAATTATTAATTAATAAATATTAAAGTATTATTTAATATAATTAATTTAATAAATTATTATTAAAGATTAATTAGTTTAAAAATACTTATTTATTGATTAGAATAATTATAAATAGAAATTAAATTAATTTTTTATAGGCTTAGCAACAAGCTTAAATTTTGAAAAGCTGTCGAACAATTTAATATAACTAAACACTTAAGGATTTAAACACCTCAAGATTTATTAATTTTGAATTTATATGGTTTACTAAATTTTGTTCAAGTTAAACGCTCCCTGGCAGCAACATTTAAGCAGAATTTAAGTAGGATTTAGACCAAATTTTGCCAAATAACAAAAATGACAACTTTAAATGCTAATAAATTCAAATACCATTTTTTCCTCCATTTTACCTTGCTTTAATAAACCTTCTAACAGGTGTATTTATGGGATTGTATACAAATTGAAGCACACAAGGGGGTGTGGGAGGAATAAAGAGGTTTACTTTCACAATGTCCAATTTATTTTACTTGATGAACTCCACTAGGAGCGGACGAAAATGTGAAGAATGACTGTGGTTTCGAAGTTGTTCTCGTTTTGAAGGAATTGCTCATTAAGAATTCAAAAAAGAATAGATTCGATTCAAGTCATAATTTATATTGGATTTCTCAATTCATTCTATTTAGAATGCTTCTATCTAGTCATTCCCTTCCGAGCAGCTAGTTTGAACAATGGTTATTTGCAAGGATTTCAGATAGAAGAGGAGGAAAGGGAAGCCAATAATAGCTGTTTGTTTTAATAAACATTATTTATTTTAAAATATTAAGTTAATTAAGATAATAATATTTTAATTTTTAATTTCCTAAACAAAATTCTTAAATTTAATTAATTTTGTAATGTATACACAAATACAAATAAGTGTGGATTTTCACCAAAAATTTTCTCTCTGAATCAAGTCCACCTGCTAAAGTGGTTGAATCGAGCTCAGATGTCGAAGTGGTTGAATTGAGTCTACCTGTCGAAGTGGTTAATTGAGCCCACCTATCAAAGTGACTGAATCGAACCCACATGTCGAAATGATTGAACAAAGCCACTTGTCGAAGTGGCTGATTCGATCATTCTCATCATTTTTGAGAGAATAGCCTTTTCTACCTATACAATGGTAGCAATTCGAGAAAGTCATCATGATCACTAATGACACCCTTCAATTAAAGAAACTGCCAGATATTGAGAACTCAATCCCTTCACCTGTTACCAGGAATAACTGACGTACCAGCAGTAGCATCGACATCACAATATTTCCATCAAGATACTATAGGAAGGTATCGTGTAAATACAAATATGTATTAAGTTGATTAAGTTAAGGCTTTTCTCTGCATATATAAAAGGAGTGGGAAGAGAGAGAGGGATGATTTGTCTCCTTGCTCTCCCAAAAAAGCTCTGTATGTGTCTCTCTCTCTCTCTCTCTCTCTCTCTCTCACTCACTGATATCTTGTAACTCAGGCAACCTCCGAGGAGCTACCTCCTTTCAACTTATCAGAGATAGGAAATTAATATATTTCTTAAGATCTCTTCAAAAGAATCTCATCCATCTCTCTCTCTCACACTCTCTCTCTCTGGTACCAACTCTACGATACAAGGACTTTTACTGGATTGTATGTACTTACAAAAGATATGGGAATCTACGTTCTAAAAATGATTCAATATCCTGAAAGGTGATGTGAGTGTGGAGCTCAGACCCAACGTTTGCAAGAAAGAACCTTCACACCATAAAAATGCACTTTAAGAACAATGTATTGTACTAGGGATTTCGTAACTTAACATATCAACAAGTTGAGAGAAATAATGGGAAAAGAAAAGAAAGACATGAGGGAAGCATCTTGAACCCATTCTCGGACTAAAACATATATCATGTCATCAAAATTAGTAATCCGCCGTCAAGAACTACTAAGAGTAGAAGGAGTGCCGCAATAAGAAATAACGAGGCGAGAATCGTATACCAAAGCTTGCAAAGAGCTGAAGTTTGAAAAGCTCTTGACCCAATTTTAGAGCAAGAAAGATTATGTTGGACTACTTTGAGCATTCATAAAGGAAAGGACTTGTTGCACACTTGATAGGAGAAGAAAGAAGAAGATGAAAATTTTCTATTGGCTGCCATGAAGAATAAATAAGGAGAGGAAGAAAAAGATAGAGACTAGAATAAATAATGAGGAGAAAAATAAGAAAAAGTTGGCAGACTCCCTTCTCGAGAGATATTGTAGAAGTTGAAGCTGGCAGAGACTCCCTTCTTGAGAGAGATTGTAGAAGCCGAGGCACCGAGGAAGTTTAAGATTCCATATTTGGAGTCTTTTAGAGGAAAATCTGAGTCAATTGACCATTTAGCTTCCTTCAAGTCAGATGTTTGTCTGCTCAAGATAAACAATGTGTTGAAATGTTGTTCGTTCTTCATGACATTGAAAGAATCAACGATGTGTTAGTTCAACCACCTACAAATATGAGTCATTACCATATTCTGTGTATTTCAAGCAAATGTTTATGGCCCAATTTTCTAGGGCGCAAAAGCCACCAAAAAGCTCACAAACACTTCTAAAGATACATTAGGAGCCCACTGAAACCTTGAGGAGCTTCATCACTAGTTTTCAACTAGAAATGTTAGACGTCTAAGACTTAGAGCCCATCGTCGCTCACGTGACCTTAGCTCAAGGCCTACACGAACGTTTCAATACGCCCTTGGCTTGTAGAAGTAGAAAACATTAGCAGAGTTCCTGAAGCTCGCACGCATCCACATCCTTATAGAGTCTCACCCTGGACCCTCATGGCCACTAGAGTCCAAGAAAAGATCTCATAATTGACCTCATGATGATTGTCGAGACCAGAAGAGTCATTTCAAGAAAAGGAAGCCTTGGAACATCTATGACAAACCTACTTGTCAAGATCAAAGAAATACAAAGGAAAAACTAGTAGGGAGAAGACCAAAAAAAACATGAGAGATGCTATGCCTCCTTCATTCTATTGTAGAAATCACATCACTAAGAGTTTCAATAGTCAAAGTTGTAGTGGCCATCTAAAATAGATATTATTTCAAGAAGCCATTTCCCTTAAAGGAAGGAACATACGTCTATGATCCTAATAGATATTGTACATATTATCAAGATCATGGCCACGACACCAAAAAATATAGGCATCTTTGCAACTTGATTGAAGAATTGATCAAAATAGGAAAACTGAAGGAGTTCGTGGCCCTTAAATCCCACACTTAGCAACAATAAAAGGCACCTGCCGAGGGTAATAATAATAGCCTCCTCCGACAATGTTGGTCCACATTGTTGGAACCATACCAACAATCTTTGGAGGAGACTGACTTGAAGCTGCAAAGAGATCCAGCATGAAAAAATTGAAGAGACTAGAAACATGTTCAACCACTTTGGCTAAACGTACCACACCAATTCGCCTTTAGTCATTTTCAAAGATGTCGATTTGCCAGTTAGGAGAAACCACTTTAATGAAGCTATCGTAGTCACCACAAATGTCGAAGATAATTCTTATGGGTTTAATGTCCAGACAGATTTTCAAAACCTTGGCTGAAACAATCAGATATATGTTGATCACTGCGTCGTTCCAAAAATCATATCGTTTAGATGATACCTAATCATTATCATATGTGCTCTCAGTCATGCACTCTTTTTATTCTAATTGATACTAATCTGCATCCGTATAAAAATAAATGAATGAGATAAAAAAATCACTAATAAATATCAAAATAATTATGTAGCAATCATATATAAAATGAGTGATTCATTTATTTTAAGATATAGATCTTGAAACTAAAAACGTAAACTTTTATGATGCTTTGGTTAATTTTTATTTTTTTCTAAAATGACAACACCACCTTAAAACTAAACCATGAAGCCTAACTAAATGTTTGTTTTGCTCATATGAAAGGCAATATTGGAGCAGTATGTATCATCCTCAATTACACAAAAAGTAAATTTCTATAATTTTTTTTCCTTAATTGTTATTTAGATTTACAACTTTAACTTGTCTCGAGCATGAGCAGAAGATAATTCTTATGGGTTTGATGTCCATATAGATTTTCAAAACCTTGTAAACAACAGTCTTAATATATACTCATCACTATGTCGTTCCAAAATCATTTAGATTAGATGATATCTAATCAATATTATTCTCTCGATCATACACTCCATTTATTCTAATTGATACTAATATGCATCCGTGTAATAACAAATGAATGAGATTAAAAAAATCACTAATAAAATACTAAAACAATTATGTAGTTAACATAAATAAAATGGATTATTCCTTTGTTTTAAGACATAAATCTTGAAACAAAAAATGTATCCTTTTATTTTGCTTTGGTTAAATTTTATTTTTTTATTCTAAAATGACAATTCTTCCTTAAAACCAAACCATGAAGTCATAACAAAATGTTGTTTTGCTCACGTGGAAGATAATCTTGGAATAGTATATATCATCCTCAATTACAAAAAAAATAAATTACTACATTTTTTTTTCCTTAAATAGTATTTAGATTTACAACAATAACTAATCTCAAGTATGAAGCATAAGATATTTCTTACGGGTTTTAATATCCGGACAGCTTTTCAAAACATTGGTTGAAACAGTCAGATATATACTCATCACTATTTTGTTCCAAAAATCATGTCAATTAGAGGATATCTAATCATTATCATATGTGCGCTCAACCATGCACTCCTTTTATTCTAATTGATACTATTCTGCATCTATATAAAAATAAATGAATGAGATCACAAAAAAATCACTAATAAATATTAAAACAATTATGCAGTAATCATAAATAAAATGAATTATTCATTGATTTTAAGATATAGACCTTGAAACTAAAAATGTAACATTTTATGTTGATTTGGTTAATTTTTATTGTTTCTAAAATGACAACACTTCCTTAAAACCAAACCTTGAAGCCTCAACTAAATGTTTGTTTTGCCCATGTGAAAGATAACATTGGGGTAGTATATATCATCCTCAATTACACATAAATTAAATTTCTACAATTTTAATTTCCTTGAATGTTATTTAGATTTACAACATTAACTAATCTCAAGCATGAAGCAAAAGATAATGGAACAACTTGGCACATCAACCTTATTGTAATAACCTATTTGAAGGGCTTATAATACATAATATTATGAAATAACTACATTCTAACTAAATTACACTTTTCTTCTTCTATAACATCTAAATAACAATTAAATTAACTTTCAGCTATTTGTTCACAAGTATTACATATATTACATTGAATCATAAAATACAGCATAAAGAACCTACACAAAGATTAATGATATCAACATGAATCATTAAAATATCAGATGCTTCTACATAAGCTTGAGCCCAAGATGAAATTCTTCTTCCACTTACAATGATATTAATTGCAACTGTAATATCCATGGTAACAATCCTAGATTGTAAAACACACATAATTCAATAGGAAAAAGATCAAGAAAAACAAAATATGATAGCAGCAGGGTGAATGATAAACATCCTTAAGAAAAATTTTAACAGATGTTTAGTGTCATTAAATCATAGCCATGTCATTTTTAAATGTTACAAAAATTACTTCCAGCTCATCTAAGTTGTGTGTGCATAATTTGAAGAAGAAGACTTCAAAAAAGTTATATTTAAGATAAACCTTTTTATTCTTATACACAGGCTGAATATTGTATGTTGAACTCAATTGAATGCATTATTTGGCATTGAAATTTTCATTTACCCAGCAGATGGATGGACGCATACATACATATGTATACATATATAGATATTAAAACTTTTTAACTCAGAGAAAAGTTAGAAATTCTGCAACTATTAATTGAAAGATTTATAAAGGGAAACTTCTCATACTTTGTTCGCCGCTTTTGATGGGGAAAGTCGCAATCACAGGTTCTGCAGATTCTTGAGGCGGACAAGCAAGGATTTTCAAAATCTCTGCATTAAACCACCAAAGATTAATTTTTTTATAGATTTACAAAATGCGCCAAGAGGTTAAGAAGAGGAAGAAGAGAACGAAGAAGGGAATGAGAGATCGAAGGTGACATTGAGCAAGAGGAGAACTCATTTTGTGCGGAGTTCAGACGCAGTTTTGCGTCCAGACTCACGTAAAATTTCAATAACTATATGTAAAGATGACCCACATTATACTATTATTTTTATAGGAAAAAAGTAATCTTTTGGAGGCGAATGAACCCGGTCCGAACTCTAACCCTGACTCCTCTATTCAAAAACTCGAAACCCACGCCTGCATTTTTATTTAGTGTGAAAGGTCTAGGGTTCCATATCATTCCCGATCACCCTTTTCTCCTCTGCATCGCCTTTGTGGCCTTCTCCTCTCTGCATCGACATCGTGGCCTTCTCCTTTATGTGTTGTCAGTGAATTGTCGTTTCTCCTCTGCGTTGCCGGTGAGTCGCTCTTCCCTCCTCTGCGTCACTGTTTCTCCTCTCAATCGTCAAAGTAATATAATTCCCCGGTTTTCAATTTCGTCATTCTACGTCACCGGACTCTCACGTAAACTCATTACTCATTTTTTAGGGTTTTTTCCAAGATGTCGAAGCATGAAATGAAAGAAATAAAGTGCAAAGGTAGGGTCATGGAGTTACAAGGTAAAGGGTTTAGGGTTTAGGAAGAAATGGGTTATGTTTATTTGTCGGTGTTTAATTTTTAGTTGTATAAATGTAAAATGTAAAATTTAAAATTAAAATTTGAGCTTGTAAAATTAAAACTTAAACTTTGAGCTTATATATCATCCAATTTTTAAAATTTTACATGTGTCTGCCACCTTCAAAGTCAGTTGTTATGATATTTAAGGATTTAAAAGAATGTAGTAATATCTAAATTATTAAAAAAATGGGAAGAAATAATAGTAATTGTAGGAAATTATAATGATATATGCGTAAACTTTCCTTTTAATTTAATTGGTATTCAATGTTTATGTGGAGTTTGGTTTGCAAAGTAAGAATTTGATGCATGATTTTAAGGCACGGTTTAAATTAGGGAACTTAACCTCAAGGGTTGTTTGTACAAACAAACAAAAGTTTGTAAAGAACTTATCGTTAAGAGTTGTTTGCACATATAAACACCCCAATACCACATGCACTGAATCACCCCTAACACCACCCCAATACCACTTTAATACCACCCAAATCACATGTAGTGATTCACCCACAATACCACATCAATATCACTTCAAAACTACCCCAATACTACCTCAATACCACTTGCATTGATTCACCCCAACATCAACCCAATATCACCCCAATACCTCCCCAATATCAGAAGCATTGATTCACCCCCAATAGTACCCCAATATTATCCCAATATCACATGCATTGATTCAACCCCAACATCACCTCAATACCACCCCAATACTATCTCAATACCACCGCAATACTACCACTGCAATACCACCCAAAGCCACCTCAACGATATCACCCCAATACCACCTCAACAACACCCCAATACCACCCCTAACACCACCTCAACAATAACACCTCAATACCAACCCAATACTACATCAATATTACCTTAATACCACCTTAATACTACATGCAATGATTCACCCTCGAGACCTCACAAATACCATCTCAATACCACCCTAATATCACCCCAATACTACCCAAATACCCCAATACCACATGCATTGATATACCCCCAAGACCTCAACAATGTCACCCCAATACCACCTCAATACGACCCCAATACCGCAAACATTGATCTACCCCTAAAATCTCAAAAAGAATAAACCAATTTATATACTTATATGCATTGGCTTATATGTATTGATTTTTTATGTGATATTAAAGATTTGAATGTTATGTGTGTTATTTATATGTTATTTAAATATACTTTACACTTCTCTCTTTTAACATAATGAATTTGTGCTTATTTTGTTTTGTTTTTTTCAATTGTTTTGTAGGGATTTAACTGTAATGAGGCTTACATGTAGGTGCAGGCCTTCTGCTATCAGAGTAGTATGTGACCAAATACGTGGGAACCTGAACGATGAAGCTTTAATTGTTTTGCGGGATCTTAGTTTATTCCAATTCTTTGAGATGTTGTCGTATCAACAAGAAAATATATTGACCCTACAAGTTTTGAAATATTGGGATATTGATGAGAAGGTTTTCGAGATCGGTGAAAAATCGTTTGGCTTCACTGCTGATGAGGTTGCACTGATAATAGGAATGCCCAATAGAGAGAAAACCGTGATTTGGGACAAATATTTACTATCAAGCATAACTTCATTACAAATAAAGAATGATCTCATAAGCATTGTAACAAGGGAGTATTTTGGTCTTTGTATTGAGTTGGCTATTAAGTGTTTTATTTGCGGAACTTATTTTTTGCCGCGAACAACTATAACATGTCGAGCGGATTGTACATACTTGTCAAAGATGTGCATAGTTTTTCTAATTCATTTGGCCAAGTGCATATGTGATTATCTTATTGAGCAAATTGATAATATTGCTTGGAAAATAAGGCGGCAACAAAAGCTTGGCTACATGAATAGATTTGTTACCATGCTGACGGTGATGTGTATAGAGCTTGTATTTTTGAAGAAAGTTTCTTAAATATATCACAGCATAATCTATGACGAGTATGAGAAAATGTATCTTATATAGCTTTAATAATTGTTTGATCCTGATCAGTGAATATTGTCAGTGGTTGTTTCTCTTCCAATAAACAAAAAAAAAAAAATTTAAATAACCACGGGAAGGAATCAATTGTCTTAACTGATAAAAAACCTACTCTAAAGAGAACATTCTGTCAATGATAGTTAACCCAAGATAACATTCTGTCAATGATGGTTAACCCCGACAAACGGTGCACATATTAAGTTATATTTATTCAACCCATAACTTGTAAAAAAAATTACGATGTCCCCAAAGTAATCATAGTCGACTCTCGACATGTTATCGCTTCAAAAAAAAACTCATCAACTATCAGTATCATCAATCTGAAAGTCTCATGCAAGCATACTATCTGCAGCTTGTCATGCTATGAACATTTATATTAAAGTGTTAGTGTTGTCGTTTCAATTCTTACTTGTCTCTCCTTTTGAATATAATTGTATGAATCTATTTTTAAGAAATGCAATTTCTCTACTCCACCAACATCCGTGGCAGGAAAGTTGAAAGTATATGTGGCTCCAATCACTTCTTTTGTCATTGATTTAAGCACATCTTCGTTGATATCAGTAATACTCTAGCTTTATCTCACGAAATGTTGGTCACCTGACTTTGCCAAGGAATAGTTATGAAACTCAATACATTTTTTAACCTTTCAGCTACCATCCATGTCAACGTCATATCGAATAATGGTTGGACAATCAGTTCTAATGTATGCTCTTTTAAACTTAAACATGTTATTGGGGTTAGGCTCCTTTTTCAAAACAAGCTTTACAAAATAAGATGTCCTTGAATTTGGTCAAAAACGAACATGATGCTTTCGAATTGTGAATTTAGTTTAATGTACATAAGCACAATAAATAATTTTCATTGAACACAATGGTACTAAGCAATTTGTCAACAATTACATCACTATCCGCAATTTCTGGCTCACAAGATAGAACATACAAACATATGATTTAAAAATTGTAAGAATAAAAATATGATAATATTGAGGTGATATTAGGGTGATATTGATGTGATATTAAAGTGATATTGGGTAACATTGATGTATTATTGGGGTTTTGTGCAAAAATATTTTTGGGTGGTACTGGAGTGATACTGTGGTGGTATTGATGTTGTATTGGGTGGTATTGAAGTGGTATTATAGATTTTGTGTCAAGATACTATTTAGGTGGTATTGGGGTGGTTTTGGGGATTTTGTGCCAATATATTATTAGGGTGGTACTGAGGTGCTATTGGGGTGATAATGATGTGGTATTGAGGGTTTTGTACCAAGATACTATTAGGGTAGTATTAGAGTGGTATTGAGGCGATATTGATAGGGCATTGATGTGGTATTGGGGATTTTGAGCCAAGATATTTTTGGAGTGGTAAAGAGGTGGTACTGGGGTAGTATTGATGTGGTATTTAAGTGGCATTGGGGTGGAATTAGGGTGGCATTGAGGTGGTATTGATGGTTTTGTACCAAGATATTCTTGTGGTGGTACGGGGTGGTATTGGATTGGTATTGTTGTGGTGTTAGGGTGGTATTGATGAGGTATTGAGGTGGTATTGGGGGTTTTGTGCAAAATACTATTGGGGTGCTATTGATGTGGTATTGAGGGTTTTGTGCCAAGATATTTTTGGAATGGTACTAGAGTGGTATGAAGTGGTATTGGGGTGGTATTGTGGGTTTTGTGTCAAGATATTTTGTGCCAAAATATTTTTGGGATGGTACTAGAGTGCCAAGATATTTTTGGGATGGTACTAGAGTTGTATTGGAGTGGTATGATGTGGTAATGGGGTGGTATTGTGGGTTTTGTGTCAAGATACTATTGAGATGATATTATGGTGGTATTGATGTAGTAGTGGGGTGGTATTGGTGGTTTTGTTCTAAGTTATTTTTTTGGGTGGTATTGTGGTGGTATTGATGTGATATTGAGGTGGTATTGGGGGTTTTGTGTATTGAGGTGGTATTGGGGGTTTATTGGGGCGGTATTGAGGTGGTATTGGGGGTTTTGTGTCAATATACTATTGGGGCGGTATTGAGGTGATATTAGTGTGGTATTGATGTGGTATTAGGACGGTATTAGTGTGGTATTGGGGGTTTTGTGCCAAAATATTTTTGGAGTGATACCGGGGTAGTATTGGGGTGATATTGATGTGGTATTGGGGTGGCATTGGGTGGTATCGGTGGTATTGGGGCTTTTGTGCCAAGATACTATTGAAGCGGTATTGGTGTGGTATCGGGGTGGTATCGGAGGTTTTGTACCAAGATATTTTTTAGGTGGTATTGATGTGATATTGGGTTTTATTGAGGTGATATTGGAGGTTTTGTGCCAAGATACTATTGGGATGGTATTAAGGTGGTATTGGAAGTTGTGTCAAGATATTTTTGGAGTGATATTGCGATGGTACTGGGGTGGTATTGAAGTGGTATTGAGATGTTATTTGGATGTTATGTTGATTTTTGGGAGAAGAAATTATTGAGATGACATTGAGATGACATTGGGTGTTATATGTAGTATTCATGTGGTATTGGTTGTGCACTTAGTATGGTCTTGGGATGGAGATGATTTGGAATTTTTAAATATAAATGCACCCATTATCATGTTGTTGGCATTTATTATTTAAAAAAGTGGTGGTGTCTGCTAATCTTGTATTGAAATTATTGTGGGAAAGAAATTAAATTTTATAATATCAACATAAAATTGATTTAAGCTACAAAAGAGCAAGTGCAAAAAACAAAACAATGTAAATAATTTCACAACTCACCTTCATTTTATTCTTGTCATCAGTTTGATAATTCTCCGTCTTCAAAATTTATCTGTTGTGGATTTATTGTAAACCACTTCTCCTCAATATTCTACTCCTAAATTAAAACCTCAAATGCCAAGAAGAAATGATGACGGTTGTGTAACGGGAAAGAAAACCGTTGGTAGAAATGGCGATGAGGTAGAGCGCGAGTATTTGAATATGCTTTTGTATTCCAAAAATATTTTAGAGGTTGCTTTTTCCGTAATATTTTCAGGTTTGGGTTTCGAGCTGGGTTTTTTCCTGTATAAATAATATTATAATGTGGGTCAGCCTTACATACAGCTGTTGAAATACTACTGAAGTCTGTAAGCAAAATTGGGTTTGGACTCCGCACAGAATAATTTCTCGAGCAAGAGAGTTTTGAGAGAAGAACGGAGAAGAATCTTGGTGACGTTGAACTAAAAAAAAAAGAATGACTCGGCATCTACTAAAACAACCTTCCAGAAAAGAGAGAATATTGAGTTTGTACGACCAATCACCAGGCGTCACATCACCCACAAATGAAATATATGATGATGTAAAGTGATGTGATTAGCCGTCCAAAAGCAGTACTTTCTCTCAAAAAGGAAAAAATATTGCATCCGAACGTCCGCACGTCCCGAATGCCAACTGCTAACCGCCACGTCGCCTACGAATGAAGTGTATGGCGATGTGGCGGTTGATGGTTGGTCATCTGGACGTGCAATGCCTGGACACAATATTCACTCCTCAAAAAGGCCCATAAGAAAGTGCCTCGATAAACAAAATCTTACCTAATCTGTTTTTAATAATTAGTCTGCTAGCTTGGCGATATGAGAATTGAAGAAGTTTGATTTGTGCAATGAAAGCTACCCACAATAGCTGAATAGACTGAATCATCCGGCACCAATCCTATCTCCAACATTTTATCATACAACGTAAGTGCCTCATCTGATCTTCCATGCTTTGACAACCCTGATATCAGCGCAGTATACGCCACAACATTAGCAACTATACCCTTTTGCTCCATCTCCTCAAACAACTTCATACCCACATCCACCTTCCCAGTGATGCAATGCCCATGAATCAATGATGTATATGTGTAAACATCTGCCAAAATCCCTTTTTTCTCCATCTCCTTCTTAAACCTCTCAGCTTCCCTTACGCTCCCTTTCTTGCAATAACCATCAATCATGACATTATAGCTAACAACATTAGGCTTAAATCCCTTCTCATCCATCTCTCTAAACAAGCTCCTTGCTGCCACCAAAGCCCCTTCCTTGCAATGTATGTCAATCAATGTCGTGTAGCTCACTGTGTTGGGAGCAATTCCTTTGTCAATCATTGAATACAGAAGCTTCTCTGCTGCGCTGTTCTGGTTTGATCTGCATAGACCAGCAGCAATTGTGTTATAAAGGTATATGTCAAGCTCCAGCCCCTTCTTCTCAATCACCTCTTTCAATTCTAGAGCTTTGTCAATCATCCCTTTCTTGCAGTATCCATCAACGAGGCTGTTGAAGATTACTAAATTTATATCAAATCCCTTCTGCTGCATCTCAAGTATCAGTAGTTCCGCCGCTTCAATCTGCCCAGCCTTGCAAAGACCATTTATTAGTGCACCATAGGTCTTCTCAGTGGGCTGAATTCCTCTCTCCACGCATTCATCAAAAAGAGCAATAGCTTTCTTCATGTTACCTTCTCTGCAATAGGCGTTTATCATTGAAGTATACAAGAAAATATCAGCATTTAATCCTCTTCTGCTCACCTCTTCAAAGGCCTTCTCGGCTTTCTCCAATTTTCTATGGGATGAGAATGCATCGATCAAAAGAGCAAACGTAACAACATTTTGTTCAATTTTATTGTCCTCGACAAGAGCCAAAACTTCGTCTAATGATTCAAAATCTCCTATTTTACCGTAAGCTTCAATCAATGGATTGTAAGAAAAGATATTGGACTTCAATCCTGTCTTACGCATTTCATCGAGCACCTTCCGTGCAGCCTTAACCTCCCCATTCTTGCACAAACCATCTACTAAAATTGAGGTTGTGTACACGGACACATCAATGGCATCCGATTCAAGTATCCTTTGGAAGAATTCAAGGGCTGAATCCATCCGTCCGCAACGCCTCAGGGCCTGGATATAGACACTGCAGGATCTACTTGAAACGACACCATATGTCTCCATCATGAATTCGAATGTCGCGAGTGCTCTTTCGAGGTTATCAATGTCCGAGTAGACACGGAAGAGCATGTCAAAAACTTCAGATGAGGAGACGCGGGCGTGGTTGCATGACTTGAGGATTGAGGACGCGAGGGTAGGAAAATGGTGGGATTGGGTTTGGTCGCAGGAAGCGAAGGATTTGAGGATGGTTTTGGCGGGAACGAACTTTTTAACTTGGAAGAGGTGGAGAAATTTGGATAATAGGGGATGGAGATTGGAGGAGGAAGTAGAAGGTGAAGAGGGGAGGGAGTGTTGGGTGGAGAGTTGCCGAGGGGAGAGGATGTGGAGGAGGTTCTGGATGTAGGAAATAGAACGAAAGGTGTTGGAGGTGGAGAGCTTTGCTGCCATGGATGGAGTGTGGACGGATGGAGGGAGAGGTTGGAGGTGAATAAAGCCGGAATGGAGCTTACGAAGGAACGGCGGCGGTGAGGTTACGACAGTGTAGAAGAGAAGCAGCGATCTGCGCTGATAAGCGGAGGCGCGTCGGCGGAAGTTCTTCTTCCCTCCTCCGTGACTCGCGATCGAGATCTCTTAGGGGTATTTGGTAATATCATTCAAAGAAAATTTAGCCATAAATTTAATCTAAATTCAGCTAAATATTAAAAAAAATTAAATTAAATTTATCACTTTCTTAAATTGAAAATTTTCCCAATTCCATCTCTTTTATGTGGTAAATTAGGATTTAGTCAATCAGATTATGAGACGGATTTCAGAAATATCATTCAACCCATAACTTGTATTTACAGGATTTAATAAATTATATTTAATTTACCAAACATCGTCTAAGTAAGCTCTTTTAAAAATCTAATCCACCAAATATATTTTATTATTTGCGATTTAATATGATGAAAAATTATTTTTCTGTCAATATTTTGGGATATTTTATTTTACTAGATAAACGTGTAGGCGGTCACTGTAACGGAACATAACTTCACTGTCGTTAGGGCTGTCAATTTAGCTCGTTGTTCGTGAACAGCTCGTGTTCGGCTCGTTAAGCAGCTCGTGTTCGGCTCGTTAGGCTTTCGTTAAGTCTAACGAGCCCAAGAGAAACAAATTTTTAAGCTCGAAGTGTAAACGAGCCGAACACGAACAATAGTTTTTTCGCTCGGATTCAAAATTATATAACTATTTATATAACAATATATTACATATATTATTTATATTATAATATATTATATATATTTATGTCTAAGTTTAAATCATAACACCTCATGTGTCAATGTGGTGTCTTCTTTTGTATAGATTTGATCCAGGTTCGAATCTCACACTTTAGATCTATTTTTCTCAATTTTAGGTTAACTAGTCAATTTCGAGCCGAAAACGAACACGAATATTTAAATCGAGTCGAACACGAACACACTGTTCACGAGCCGATTTCGAACACGAGCTATTTCGAACGAACTGAAACCGAGCCAAGCCTGAGCTCGCTCAAGCTCGGCTCGTTTACAGCCCTAACTGTCTTCTCAAACTCGACCTAGCACTTCGATCTCGACCCACACCTGACACGATTGAAATTTTATTAATGACCCAACCACGACTCAAGTTTGAAATTTTATTAATTAATTATTCCAAGTTTGCTCTATTATGTTTCAATGACTTTAACTTGGCTTATAAGTCAAATAATTTATTTGAAAATAGTTTTAATTTAAGTAATTATTATGATGAGGGGCATTTACATACTTCCACTCAATTCATATTTACATATCTAACACTAAACTTTGATTTTACATTTATACCATCCAATTTTTTCATATCAAATGAGATATATCACAACTTTAAAAAGTAAAATACATTTTTCCTAGCATAGGTAAGATGATGTGTGTATAAAAATTAAAGTTTGTGTGTTAGATATGTAAATACATAGGAATTTGGGGGTATTTATTTGATTCATCTTCATAAAAATGTATGTGAATCAACCTCATAATAAATGAAAAAAAGTGAAAAAAATGACAAAAAAAAATATAAAGAATTTAAAATTAACTTTTAAATATTTTTTGTTATTATGTACAATTTTAATCCTAAAATTTTCATTATCTTGAATATTTTATTAGGATTATGTAGCAAATTTAGAGTTTTAAATTCTAAAGAATCATTATAGTATTCATGATTCCCAAACACACCACAGAAAGAAATAATAAAATTTATTTCAAGCATTCAAATATACAATAAAGCAGAAAGGCAAGCCAAATCAAAATAATAAGCGGTTGGTGTCACTGGGTCGACAACATATCATAAGTCGAACTCCGCATATATATGTTTGGTCCTAAATTCATTCATCAATATTAAATGTAGAATCAAGATACAAGCCAAATGCACTTTGACTTTAAGATAGCGGAATCTGCATTTAAAAATAATAACCTCATATATGGCATAACATATATAAATTTTAAAGTAAATTGGATAATAAGTATAGTAGCAAAAATATTCATTTATTTACACTTTAAGATAGTGGATCATAAAATGCGGTCCTGGAGCAAGCAAGTGACATACTTTAGAGTTTTTCGATCTTTAGCACAATTATATTGTTTGCTCGTGTAATAAAAACTCGCATTGCTCGTCGAGATATCCTCGCGGGCAATACTTGTTTGAGTAGCACAACCAACAAATTGATCACTCTCCTAACAAGCAGGACAAACCATCAAGGCGACTGAGCATGCCTACAAACATGCAAAAGACCCACATTGTGCTTGTTCAACTGAAGCACGAAGTAATCATATTGAGCGTCAAAAGGTGAAGCACAAAGCATGCAAACTAATACAAGGATGTTACATGCAACACGACATATGAACGAGATGTACCAATAAAACATGTTATGTGTGGAAAGGAATTAAAAATGTCTGGAGGACTCGGGGCACCATGTGATAAACAAACACTAGTTATAAGCAAGTTTGTATCAAGTAAAAAGATACCTATGAAAAGGTTTACACCTTACCCAAATGGCACACACAGAGCACATATGCGTACATGAAAGATATGTAACACACAAACGAGAAAAGTCAAACATACGTCATACGCCATACATATGATAGTTGTCAGACATATAACATGCAAATGTCACTCAAATGACAAACATTCAGAGATGCAAGTGTGTCAAACATACTAGGTCATATGATTCATACGGGTAAAAATCACATACTTGAGTGGACACACATCGTGCCTTGCACGAGTTCAATAGCTAGGAAGCATGACTCATGTTTAACACAATGTGAAATACCTATAACACTATGGATGGTATCGTGGGGAATGAGGCATGTGGTTGTACATATGTGCCATCTCATTGCAAAATGTGCAACTGTTTATTCTCTGTGCATATGACGGCATATGTAGAGAAGACACTCACAAGCACGGGTGCTTAAAGAGACACCACAACTGGGAGGTGCTTAAAGAGACATCCCAAATAAGGATGCTCAAGGAGACATTTAAGGCATGCCACGTGCAAAGCATATAAGGTAAATATTTTACATGTAATGAAATATCGTAGATATCATGTCAATATAAGAGTTTCATGCACACACAAATAAACATGCATTATTATACAGAAACTTAAAAGCATGCAGATGACTGGTTGACCAAACCATGGCGGTCGGTCAATCGAAATGATGGGTTGATCGATACGGGACAATTGGTCGAAATCGAAAGAGTGGGTGATCGGCCTGGGACGACCGATCAGACCCAAAGCGGGTGATCAATGCGGTGCAATCGATCAAACCCAAAAGATATGGTAATTGGACCTGGGTGGCCGATCGAGCCCAAAAAAAAAAATAGGACAATCGGGTAGGGATGACCAACCAAACCTAAAGAGGGTGATTGACGCAAGTCCGTCTATCGAACCAAAAAGATTGAGCGATCAGACTAGGGATAATCATGAGAGAGTACCCATCATTAGATACACAGACATCTCACTTTTTTATGATGAGTTTTGGGCTTGTTGAGCAAGCCAATTCTATGTGGTCGTCTTGGATAATCTTTCTACTAGATCTTTGTAAATCCATATAGATAGACACATTTGTTAGATTTTTTGTTGTTCCTCCACAAATCTCTGCACATCTATAAATTATCTCCATGCTTATCACAGCTAAAAGAATGTTAAATTTTAATTTGTGTATGATTATCCTCCGAACCTCACTAACATTGTGAAAGAGTGAGATACATGAAAATAGATTTCCCTCGACTCTTCCCAAAATCCCATATTTGTAAGAGAATCTGGGATCTCGGACCCTAAAGTAATAATGTTATACAATAAACAAAATAAATGATATTAGACGTATAGTCTAAATATAAACTAAAACAAAGTCAAATAGTTGTTTATGTTGGCAGTAAGTACTTGGTACTCAACAGCCGTGCTTAATACTCAGTACTCAACGCTTAACAGTTGATAGTCAACACCCAATTAATACTCAATGCTTGGCAGTAATCATGGATACTTATTCCTCCATATTCCTTGTTTTGGAAGCAAGACCCTCCATATTTTTTTTAAAATTTTGGTCTTGAATATCGGGCAATGATGATAGTAGATAATAGTGTTGATGATTGGGCATGCTCAACTAAGGCAATTTTGTGATAGGAAACTGGGAAAATGAATTTGAGTAGTTGTTAAATGATGTAGTTCCATGACTTTATAATATAAATAATTTCTTTAGAATTTATTGTGGGTTATATTGGAGACACTCTTATTTTTATTTTATTTTATTACTTTATTTTAATATTGTGTCAAGGCTATATTTTATAATTAATTTTATAAATGCATATTTAACTCATAATTTTTTTTTTTTATTTAGAGGTCATTTGACTTGCAAAAAAAAAAAAAAAAAGTAGAAGAAATACAATGTATTGATATGTAATATATATGAAATGTGCTATTTAATTGAGTGTAATAATATAGAGAATATATATATATATATATATATATATACATAAAAATTAATTAATAGGCATATAAATCTTCCTTTCATTATAAAAAGGGACCCCAAACCAGAGGGGACTTACAACTGACAAACAGATGCCCGACTAACTGATCTGAGAATATATATATATATATATATATATATATAAAGTCTGATGATCGAAGTTATTTTAGGAGTGTTAAAAGGGTTCGGGTTAGACCTTAAATTGAGCTGATTTTTTTGAAACTGCTTGACTCGAGCCCGACCCGAATATTGAACGGATTAGAATGTCCAACCCGATTCCAACTCGTTTTTTAATCAATCCATGTGAACCTAACTCGTATAATTTGTTTAACATAAGCCCGTAACTTTTATTCATGTCAATTCAAGTTGATCGCAGATAAATTTTGATTTGACAGATCAATCCGAACCTGAGCGAAGAAATTAAACTAGTTAGAAAATCTAACCTAAACCCGTCCCCATGATTAATTGGGACAACAAAACTAACATTTTTCGAGCTAAATTGAAGCATAACATTTTTTATTTTATTTTATTTTTTTTTGTGACACCAATAGCTAAGTGATAGGCATCAATTGGTACTTGGTAGTGTAGGCAGCTGACAACAAGATGGGCGATGCAAGTAATAGTTGCCAAGATTAAACAACAATGGATGGAGGGCAAGAGCCAATGGCTAGTGGCCAGCTATGTGTGGTGGCAGCAATTATGGCTTTCGGTGCATTCGAAACCCAGCCAAATTCAACAAAGTTTGGAATACATCATAAATGACGTATGATAAGGGTTTTGAATTCGTTGAAATTTACTCTATATTTATTTCACTCCAAATATCGGCCAATATTCCAAAATATCAATATTTCAAAAACTTTAGTCTACTATGGGTGTAAACGAGCCGAACACGAGCGAGCCATGAACAACTCGTGTTCGGCTCATTCGCTAAGTTAACGAGCCG